CCCCCCAAATCTCCATATATATTTCTTCCTCATATTCCTTCCTGTGCCCTGTCCTGACATAACTGTTTCCTGACTTTTTGGTAGTTACTTCCTTGATTTTCTTTATAATTTTACCATATAAGCATGCATCTGTAAATATGAGGATTGAATTTTGTATTTTTTTGAACTTTGTACAAATAGAAATAAACTCTATGTATTCATTTGTCAGCATCCGTTTCATAGCTGTTTTCTTTAGGTTAATTCATTTATGAGATTCATCTATTTGGCTACACATATATCTAGTTTTTCATTTTCTTTGTTGTATGGCATGCATACAATACATTGTGACAATACCACAATGGAACCATTTTAATGTCGATATTTGTATAATCTTTTTTTGGTGTGTGCTATTATGAACAGTTATGAATATTCTTATATGTGTTTCTCTGGGTATGTGTATGTATAAAATTCCTGGGACATAGGATATGTGTATCTCCCTTTTGTAGGTATTGCTGAACTTCCTGTATTACCTCATTCACATTAGTGCCAGTAGTATATGATAACTCTCATTGCTCTTTATTCTTGCCAGCACCAGGTATTATCAGAGTTTTTAATTTTTGTCAGTCTGGTAGGAATGTAATGAAATTGCATTGTGATTTTAATTTGCCCTCATTACTAGTGACGTTAAGCATTTTTCCATATGCATATTCATTTTTTGTGGGGAGGTTGTTCTATTTTTCTTTTGGATATTTTTTCTTTTTTATTAAAAGACAGGAGCTCAACACAGGAGCTGCCCCCTGGTGGTCAGTGCACTTCTACAGGGGGGAGCACTGCTCAGCCAGAAGCCTGGCTCATGGCTGGTGAGCACAGTGCCAGGGGCAGTAAGGAGTGAGAGGTCCCTGACTGTGAGAGCCTGGACTGCGAGAGGGATGTCTGACTGCCGGCTTAGGCCCAATCCCCAGCAGGTGGACATCCCCCAAGGGGTCCTGGACTGTGAGAAGGCACAGGCTGGACTGAGGGAGGCTCCATCCCCTCTAGCCCCCCTGCCACTCCCCCTCTGCACCTTCAGTGCACAAATCTTATGCACCGGGCCTCTAGTCTTTCATAAAAATAGAATAACCTTTTTATCTAGTGGTTTGAGGTAGGTATCCAGTTTTTTTCTTTTTGTTTTTCTCCCTTCTTGTTTGGCTATCTACTTGTCCATATCATTTTCTCTATAGTTCTATCTTTGTTATAAATCAAAGCTGTTTCTGGACTTTTTATTCTCGCTTACTGATCTGTGTGTCTATTTCCATGTCAGTACCACACTGTCTCAATTATAGGAACTTTATCCAAGAGAGCAAATCTTCCCACCTTGTTCTTTGATTTTGATTCTTTGCATTTGGATGTACATTTTAGAATCTGCTTGTCAAATTTCACCAAAAGGGATATTGATATGGATGGCATTGAGTTTATAGATTACTTTGGGTGAGAAATGATATCTTTACAATAGTGAATCTTCCAGTCCATGAACCTGTTGCACCTAGTCTCTTGCTCAACTCTTACTAATTCTAATGATTTATCTGTTCATTCTTTTGACTTTCCTTAATCACACAGTAATATCTTCCAATAATGATAATTTTGAGAAATTTGGTATATTTTTTCATTTATTTAGATCTTTAATTTTTTAAAATTAAGTTTTTTTTATTTTACCTGAAGAAATCTTGACATATACTGTTAGATGTTTTTCCCTAAGTACTTTATATTTTTAATGCTATTGTTAGTGGTATCTTCCTAAAAATGTTATTTAAAAAAAATTGCTAGTATATAGAAATATAAATGATTACATATGTTAATTTTGCACCTAGTCTCTTGCTCAACTCTTACTAATTCTAATGATTTATCTGTTCATTCTTTTGACTTTCCTTAATCACACAGTAATATCTTCCAATAATGATAATTTTGAGAAATTATTAAAAATAAATCTTTAAAATTTTTTTTTGCCGTATTGCACTGCCTAATATCTCCATTGGTGTTGAGTAATAGTGACAGCATTTTTTTTCAAAATATGCTTTTATTGATTTTAAAGAGAGTGGAAGGGAGAGGGAGAGAAACATTGATGTGAGAAACATCTATCGGCTGCCTCTTACACAGCCCTTACTGGGGATTGAGCTCACAAACCGGACATGTGCCCTGACTGGGAATTGAACTGGTGACCTTTTGGTGCGTGGGACAACATTCCACTAACTGAGCCACATGCACCAAGCATCTTGATGTCAAAGGGAAAGCCTTCAGTGATTAGTACCTTTCCCCTCAGTCTCAGCAGTATGGGATCTTAGAATCCATTAACTCCATTTATCAGTCCCTCTCTGCCACACATGTTATTGTTATGGATTTTTGTTTGTCTTTGTTGGTTCACATAAGGCATTATCATTGTTGTATTGCAATGATTCAGTCAATGATATAGAAATTTATCGATATACTTACTACTATCTTTGCTCTTCTTTCCATTCTATATTTCTGATATCCCATTTATAATCATTTTTTTTTTTCTTTCTGAAGTAAATCCTTTAGAATTTCCTTTAGTTTGGGTCTTCTGGTAG